AAGTATAAAATGAGAATATGTGGGTTATTACTTTACCTTACAATATACCATTTTGCTTTAGAATTTCCTGCCAAGAATGTCTACAATAATAACTGTGGCAAATATAAGTTCCTACCTATTGTCCATTCCCACATTCCTTCTAACAGAAAGCTTACTTCGTCGTCTCCGGATGAAGCTTTCATAAAAACTACTGGTTCCCTAATGAAAATGATGGTGGGGGTACAGATGCAACTAAGAAGTGCCCTTCCCCTCTACCTTTCTTACTTCTTATCTAAACCCTTAGACAGGTGGTCTCTGGAGAGTCCTGCACCTCAAGACTACAGTGATGGAACCACAGCTTCAGGCCACTCAAGAAGACCATCTCTAATCTTTCAGAGAAAAGCAAATCCTCATCCGTTAGGTTCATCAAGTGCAATGTATCCTGAGGCACTGAGGCTAAAATCCCTAATCCCATATTATCACAAGGGAGCAAAATAAATTTAACGTGCATTATACTATTTCTAGTTTCACTGTGCCTCGAGCTTAAATCACAGAATTTTGAGATACTCAGAATTATTCATTCTCTCATTTTTGCATTAAACTGAACTAAACAGACCTAGTGCCCTATGACCTTGTATTTAAAGGCACCATAAAAACCCAGGGAAAATAAATGAATGAGCATGACAAAAACTAACCAAAAAGTTTATCCAAATTAGTTTTATGTATTAAAAGCCAATATGTTCATTTGTAGGAAAACAAGTAGAGACACTGTGTTAAGCTAAATAAGCTAATCATGGGAAGACAAAAGACCTGAAAATAGAAGAGGGATTATTATGGAGGCAATGTGCTATGTGAGACTGAGTGGCAGAGGGTACACTTCTACTGGAGGACAGAATACAAAGGAGAGTGGGCATAAACTACATTAAAACTCATTAATATGTACAACTAATGTGTTTTAATAACAGTTTCAAAGTGTGGTTTGCTCTAAAAGAATATGGAGGCTTTTCTTTCTTTTTTCTTGACTCAGTGCTTTCTAAGCAATGTCCCCTAGATCAGTGGTTTGCTCCTAACAGGCCACAGGCCTATCAAACTGCTGTCTTACCTCAGTCCACAGGTCAGCTTTGAGCCCAGAGTAGCTAATACCCCCTAGGCCAGCTGCCTTGAACCACAACAGTCTGCCCACTCATGTCAGTTCACCATATGTCTTAGGGTATCTATTGCTATGATGAAACACCAACCAGAAACAGCTTGGGGAAGAGAGGGTTTATTTCATTTTACAGTTGTAGTCCATCATGGTAGGAAGTCAGGGCAGGACCTCAAGGCAGGCTCCTGGAGGCAGGAACTGAAGCAGAGGCCATGGACTAATGCTGCTTACTGGATTGTTTCTCATGGCTTGCTCAGCCTTTCTTAGACCATCTACCCAGGAGTGACACACCACGCACGCTCTGTGGGATGGACTGACCCCCATCTATCATCAATCAAGAAAATGCTCCACAAGCCAATCTGATGGGGGCATTTTCTCAATTAAGGTTCCTCCTTCCTAATGACTCTAGCTTGTGTCAAGTTGACAAAAAAAAAAAAAACCAAACAAACAAACAAAAACACTAGCCAGCAAGCCATGCAAACGTCTGTCTCCCTATGTGCATCAGCTGCTAAGGTTTGAAGAGCTCAACCTACGTGACACATGCTAGCAAAACAATTATTTATTTACAACCCCAAATGTACCCCACACTAGTTCTCACACAGAACATCATTTTATGCTCATCAAAATCACAAGTGATCAATAAGGACCGTGATGTTCAATATCAAGGCTCAAGGCCAGGGAGCTGCCAGCTAGCACCACATTGCTAGGAAATGGCAGGACCAGAACTTTTAAATCATGGATTTCTGCAATCAAACCTTCTGCTTTTTCCAGTACACCTCTCTGTAGGACAACATTCCAAGAGTACACTTCAAAATCTGCATTAAATTTCATTCTCTGAAGACAGTTCAAATAGATTTATTTTTCTTGTGGCTGGCAAGCGAACACTGTAGTATACAGAAACCCATATTCTCTTTGAACTTAGCAGGACTGAGGAAGCATAACACCAAACAGTATAAGCAGGCCGGGCCAGTTTTCTCCTTCCAGCTTCCCAGCCCCAACACCCAAAAGCCAATCCTGGCTTTTTTGCATGAATAGGAAAGAGTTGCCCACCTCTCTAGAAATGTTCCTGGGAAGTACCTCTTAAAAGAGTACAGATTAAAAAGAAAATAGCATCCTGCCATTGACCAACATGTCCAGCTTTTGTTTTGTTTTACCAATCACAGTTTCTCATCATCCTTCCCATACAAAGGAAGAATACAGAGACACAAAAGAAACTGTCAGAAATAAATTACATAATGAATAGATAAAAGAAAATATGAATTTTAAACATGAGCAATTACTGTCAAGAGATATTATTGAAATAAGCAGAATTAAAGCTTGTTACGCTTGCTTCTAAAAGCCAGCCAACCAATAGACTCCTATGGCTATAAGTAATATTGTAACTTATTACAATGCAGAGAAAAGAGGATGCATGCATAAAAATAGGGCTATGGCAGAAATGTCCAACTATGTAATAGTGATGGATGAAAAGCAAAGGCAATATCTAAACTATTAACACAACATTGGTTTTCTCTCCAGATGCTAATGGAATGGCTGGGCATACATGGCATGAAACAGTGTGGGGAGCAGGCCTGAGCTACAGCGTGCAATGGATGTGGCAGTTACATGGGCTTAAAGCACGTTTTATACCTCATGTCTAAAGACATAGGTTTCATATTCACAAAACCTGGAGTCAAATGCTAGCTCTACTAATTAGCAACTGAGAAAAGGCAGCTTGGTGAAGCTTTTAACAGAGAAAACAGGCCATTTGGTTGTACTATAAACAGGTAAGGTGGAAAAACAGTCAATGCAGAATTCTTTTATTGATTACTTATTTTCAAAATTATTTTCATTAACTACAAAATCTCCATCAGGAATTAAATAAAGTCTGCTACTCAGTGTCAAGAAAAGCAAGCCTATGCCTTGGAGTGCTATAAGCCCAGTGCTGACAACAGGCTCCCTGTGAAAGCCATGAACCTTGGTACAGCATACTATGTATATTTGGAAGATAACGCATTTTTTGGATACAGGTTGAAGTATCCATTCCTAACAGGACTCAATCACAACTACTACAATACTATGTGATTAAGTTTTCACCCTGATACACAAATGTTACATTTTCCTTAGCAGCATCTAAAAATATAAATCCTTCTTTTAGAATATTTGAATTTTCAATGTCATTAATAAAGATATGTCCATACTAATAAACTACAAATTTATCTTGAGAACTATAATCCTTTGGGTGTATTCAGAAGCTGAGAGAGAGGGGGGGGGGAGAGAGAGAGAGAGAGAGAGAGAGAGAGAGAGAGAGAGAGAGAATGTGTGTATGTGCACTCATGTGTATGTTTTCTAGTGACCAGTTCACATATGCAAAAGTAACACCTTCTGTGCCACTTACAATAAATATTCCAAGTTAATATTGGTAAAAATGTATGCTTAATATTGTAAAAGAAAGGTTTAAGCAAAACTAAAAATTCCACAACTTATTATTTTTTAATTTTTAAATTATGAGCTAACAATTTTTTCCTATACAAACATGAATTCACAGAAGTGTTTTCAGAGCAAGAAAATGCAATATCCTGAGCAAGTGTAAAGAAACTAATAAAAAATGAACTGTGGGGTCAATGAATACCTTGAGTGAATATTAAGAGAATATTCCTAGAGCATTCATTATTTTAGTTCCAACAAGAAACTGTCAACATACAAACGTTATAAAGCCTACCCAAACAACTGTAATTAGAACATGCACACTAGCCTTGTTGTCTGTCTCGGGAATTGCTCATTTCAACATCATTTCCAATGAAATTCCCCTAGCATCCAAATTTACTTTAAATCAAAGCTCTGTTCTAAGCATTGTATAAACCATATTAAAACCATTCTAAGTCAATATTTATTTCCAGCCAAACAAACACACGTAATGGCAGATAGTGTTGTATTTAACGAAATGGCAACAAATTCCACAAGTTCTACTTGAATAGATTATAAACTGGCAAGCAGGTTCCATTTGAGGCAAGGAAATGCTTCCCGTCTGTGGAAACTGAATGAAGTTTCCATCTCATCAGGGATTTGCTCTCCATAACTGGCCACAGGAAAGGTCAGAAGTGAGCACAAAATAAAACACACATGCATGGGACACTAAGATCTCCAGCACCATGGCCTGGATCAGAGATGTCTCCATACTTCCCCCAATGAGGCCCACAGGGGTCTAGAGGATGCATAATCGGCCTCGCTTGAGCTTTTCTGAGCAGGGATGTCTACATACACATAAACACATACATACACACATGTGCAAATTAATGAAAGGAAACTTGGACTGCTTTAAAAGTATTCATGCTTTATGTATAGGCTTCAATAACTTCTAGGCATGACTTACACCACTGAAATTAGCTTTACACAAATATAAACTATTGAAAGAGTCAATACACTACATGTGGATGCTCTCATGAGTGATAACGCAGCTCTTACTGGAGGTGGACCATTACAGTCCCTGATAATTGTAGATTCTCCCCAAACTAGCACAGCCTACTTTACTGGGAGGCTAGGGTGTTATTTGGGATAGTACTAATTAATTAAAATTCAAATGAAGTATAGCAGTCTCAAAATAATATTAAACTCCTGAAAATGGTGATTTCTAATCCCAAGACACTGTAACACCTTACAAAGCAGTTTTTCTCTGAATATTGTGCTGTTTGACCAAGGCTTTGACACTAACAAACATGAATTCATAAGCACTTAGCAGACCATTCCACTACCACTACCAGAAAAGGAAACTACGGGAAAGACAGCTTGACCCTGCAGGTGGCTGGAGACAGTGGTCCCCTCCTCCTGTGAGTCCTTACCCAGAAGCCTGCCTTCTGTAGTCACAGGATATGTGTTCTGTATGGTGCTCCCCACTCACCTGTGATTTTCTGTAGCAAAGGCGACAACTCCGACTCCTCGGAGAGGACACGGGCCAAGGCCTTCTTCACCCTTTCTTCAGCTTCACTCAGGTCTTTGTCCATCGTGAACTCTCCGGTGACAGAGTAAATGTATATGAGGAGGATTAGCAGTTCCTCGGGGCCGTAGTCATCGCTGGTTCTCTGGCTTGGGGACTTGATCATAGGGAGCAGCTGATTTAGCACAACAGTCATGGTTGAATCCCCAAGGCTCTGAAACAGCAGCAAGGACAGGAAGATATGTCAGCCTTCCACAAAGACAGAACTTGGTTCCAACTGGTTCAAAGATGGTTGCAAAATCTGTATGGTACTTGTTGGCCACACTGTCTTTCATGTCTGTGTTTATTAATCCTGGCTAGAACACTGCAAGAGTCTGGCATTAGAACTTTTATTCTGAAAAACCTGTTTGATAAAATGGCAAGTGAAGTCACAGGCCCTTTAATAATGATCTTAGTGTACCTTGAGCAAATAAGATGGTGATTTTTTAGAAATAAAATGTAAGTGGTTCAACAGGCAGGGCGTGGAGCTCAGTGGCAGAATGCTTACTTAGCACACACAGGCCCCAGGTTTGAGCCCCAGCTCTGTGAGAAAATGTCAGCACTTTGAAAACTTGAAATCTAAATGAAAATGTAAAGTAATACAATTTGCAAAACAAACCTGGCAGATTATCTATTCAAAGGAATGCTGATGCTCCTTTAGCAGAATCTATATATTCAAGGAGTGCTAATGCTCCTTTAATGGCAGCTACATATTTAAATGAGTGCTGATGCTCCTTTAAAGGAATCACTGTCTTACAGGATATCCTTTCTGATATCTTCTATGTTGGCAAACATTGGTAAGAATATTTATAGCAACCAGAGACCATTTCCTGCTAAATCTGACAAATAGAATAATGGCTCAAACTGGGCAATTTCACTGAGGATGGGTTCAAGATTTCTTTTGGTGAATTTGAAGGTAATTTACCATAACTTCTCTTGTTTGTTTATTTATTATGTATACAGTACTCTGCATATATACCTGCAGGCCAGAAGAGGGCACCAGATGTCATTATAGATGGTTGTGAGCTACCATGTGGTTGCTGGGAATTGAGCTCAGGACCTCTGGAAGAAGGTCTTAACTGCTCTTAACTGCTAAGCCATCTCTCCAGCCCTCACCATAACTTCTGAATATATATTTTTAAATTTTCTTCACTTATTTTTATGTGTATGGTGTTTTACTACATGTGTGTGCACTATGTGCATGCTGTGCCCACAGAGGCCAGAAGAGGGCATCTGATCCCCAGGGACTGGAGTGATAGAAAGCTGTGAGCTTCCATGTGGGTGCTGGGAATCAAACTGAGGTCCTCTGGAAGAGTGGCAGTGCTCTAACCACTGAGCTATCTCTCCAATCTACCACCTCAATTTTAAAAAAATTGGTTTTAGTTCTTGTACCAACTTCTTAAATGACACTAAGAAAATACTTTCAGGATTCTTTACATGTGGTAAGAGTATTGCATTGCTGGGGTTACTGTGTCAAGGAACTACACATATCTTCAGCACGGATCTTGAAGCTTTGGGTAAATAGGTACTAATTTTTATATTCACATTAAAGGTCAGGTTATCAGAGCTTGAAACCTCCGTCATTCATTTATAAGTGCCCTGAACACCTACTATGTTGCATTATTCTAGTCCTGAGAAACAGAGCAGACACATTCTCTACGCTCATAGTTTTTATCAAAGGGGAAAACACGATTGAAAAACTGAGAAAGTAAATGCTGTGGTGCAGAATACGATGGTGAGTTCTACAGAGGAAAAGGGAGCAGGAAAGGGGGATGGAGAGACTGGACTTCAGGATCTTATCACTCTTCACATGGTAGACGCCATAGCAAGAGGACATGGGAACAGAGAACCCCTGCAGAGATGCTTTCTTTAAGCAGATAGATGCAAACAGTTGAAGGAATTGCAAGAAAAGGGCCACCCCAAAAGAGCTCTTCTGGCCACTTCCGCTCAAATTCAGACAGATATGTCAAGGTAAGATTCAGAATTTTATTTTGTACATCCAGAGACAGCTTTTACCATTTATTTCTAATATAATTATATGTTTATGGCATATTATGCAAAAATAAAGTGCTAAGTCTTTGGATTGGGTAAGATAAGAATGGAAAGGACAGAGATTTAACTAACACATGGCAACAAGATATGGTTTACCAAGTAAAAGTATATTCACCCTTCACAGCACCAGGGGCAGAAAGGTCTGCAGGACCCCTAGGGCTGGTGTACAGCTCAGGGTGGAGCCCCCCAGGGTGCCCTGCTGCCAGGTGCCCCATCACTTAAGGAAAGGAGCCATGTGGTTGGCCGGTCCAGAGAGGGTCCCAGAGGCTGCAGCTTGTCTCCTTGTTTCTCGCTCCACAGCCGGCCAGCTTCTTCATGGATGAGAAGAAGCAGATTCCTGCACTGCCCCCCATCCCATCTCCTAACAGTCAGGTGGAATACAATGGGTCTACCCTGCAGGAGCCCTGCACCCGCAGAGAAGAAAGCCTTGCAGAGGATGGGTCTGAAGGGTGAGTCAGGGCAGGGGACTCATCTGTAAAGATGTACTTGCTAGCATCTGCCCCTCAGGCCTGAATTTTCAACTCTCTGGTCTATGATATACACTAGAGAGAAAAATCCCTCAGTAGAGACACAAGCATGACTTCCATTGTTCACACCAGCATAATGACATTCAAAATATGCTTCAAGCATCCCAAGAAGGCAATAGTTAGTTGGTTTGATACAAAGCCAAAAGCAGTGGGCAGTTATAAAGATGTGAGAATTATGGGAAAATAAAAATGCCCCATTTTGAAAGCCTAATTCCAATTCTGACTGTTCTATTATGCAGTTCCTTAACATAGGATCTCTCAGTGTCTAAACGATATGATCTGATTAGAGCAGTGATTCTCAACTTGTGGGTCATGACACCCTTGGCAAACCTCTATCTCTAAAAATATTTACATTATGATTCATCATAGTAACAAAAGTACATTTATGAAGTAGCAACAAAAAAATTTATGATTGGGGTCAGCACAACATGAGGAACTGTGTTAAAGGGTCATAGTACTAGGAAGGTTGAGAACCACTGGCCTAGAGGATGGCAGAGCAGGAAGGCACATTATTCCAGGCTCTCCAATTACTTTACTACAGACAGCAGAAGGCAGTAAGTCATATTCTTACTGCTACCTACTCAGTAAAATATAGACTGCCCCCCAAGAAGAAAAAAAGTAGCTTTACCACAGACAGGCAGAGAAGTTCAGAAATAACATGAGAGTGTGTGTGAAGTAGGTGGGCTGATGTAGTTCAGCTCTGTTCCGTGGGGTGACCTAAGAACTACGACACCTCAGTGGCAATGGACACACACAGATCTAGTCTCTGCTGGTTTGTTTTGGTAAAAGAAACCAGTAATCTCCAAAGAGGTGAACAACACCAAGGCTATAGGAGGAAAATACAGGATGAGCCTGGAAGATCTTAGAGCCCCCCACACCCCACACACAAAGAGATTAGGAATGTGTCAAAAGGACCCACGAGCCAATTGCAAGACTTCCCAGATGACCACCATCGGGATAATTTTAAAAACAACATAAATTAGCATTTTAATATAACCTAAAGTACACAAAAACATCCATCTGTTCATGTTGTCATAACTGTGGCTGAACTAGGGCTAGAAGACAGCTCAGTCAATACAAGAGCCCAAGTTCAATCCCTAGAACCTGTTTAAAGAGGGAAGTAGATTCCCTGAAGTTAGAGGTGACTGAGCCACCTGACCTAGGTGCTAGCAACAGAACTTAAGTCCTCCAGAAAAGCAGCCATTGACCACCGACCATCTTTGCTAGCTTGTTGGCCAGTTTTTGATTCCTGCTTCTCCTCAGAGGAAGAAAGATCAGAGACTCCCCAGATTGAAGCCTTCTTAAAGCAAAAGAAATAACTTCAACAGGAGTAACAGGAATGTGTGAATAATGTAGCATTTGAAAGGATCTGTGCCATAGGCTGTATGACCTTAGAGAGACCGTCTAATATTCCACATCTCAACTTCCCTATTTAGGAAATAAAAATGCCTGACTATTAGGTGGCCCCATTACACAGGCATGCATTTATATAACACTGGCACAAATTGCTTCAACCACTCTGCTTCAAAAATGAAGTAACCCCCCACAACAGGGTAGTCTTTATATAGACTCAAACATAACTCTGTTTTCTGAGGGCTAACTTTGCAGAACACATTTGATATCATTTAGGAATATACAATAACGGCCATCCTTCACTAGGTTGTTCTGTGAACTTAATAACAAAAACGAGTCACACAGCAGTGCCTGGCATGTGGCATCTTATTCCGTTACCACCACCCAGGGCCCTATGATCTTCTTTTCTACTCAGAAGGACTAGTTAAGAAAGCTGGGATGGGAATGGCACATGTTCCAGGAAAGGACATTGGCAGTCTCAGAGGCAAGAGGGACAGTCTACAAACATGGAGTATAAAGATTCTATCATGGGACTTCACTTCAACAGCCAGTGAAAGGCCAAAGAAAATCAAATGTTACAAAATGCTGCTATTGAAAGCGATGAGCACAGCAAATCACAGCCGAGGTAGAGGGCTTTAAAAAATGGCTTCTTTGTAAAGCAACTGGGATTAAGTTTCCCATTCACCTTTGCATGAGCAGACCTACTAGTAGGAGGTAGAGGACCTGAGCTGTGGCTAGGGTGACAAAGCACCTTGTTATTTCTGTAGTCTGGGCTCTTGTTTTTCTTGAATCAGTCCCCAGCAACTCCATACAAAGGCCCTCTTTAAAAGGCATGCCCTTAGAAAAGCTGACTGTGAAGTCAAGAGCTGGCCTCTGCTCTGGCATGAGGACCATATTCCATATGGCAGCAGGCTGGTCCAGGCTGGCCCCACACCTGCTCATCGGAGAGCAGAACCTGCAGACGCTCAGTGGAACTGTCAGCCACTGGCAGAGGACTCCTCTCAGCAATCCTCAGTCAGTGTGTGCAGGCTGGTGAGATATTACAGTGGGCGGCTTTGAAAAGGGCCCAAATACCTTCTGTCGCCAAACAGTACCGGCCAGAATTAAAACCAATCTGTCATTTTGGACAATTTTGAAAGAATCTGAATTTCCTTTTGTACAATTCAGGCAGAATGTAAAAATGTAAAATAATTCACTGATATGCCCAAATAGCAACACATTGTGCACACAGATACAAACATAA